TCTATCTATTTTTCTATCTATCTGTTCATTATGCAACCATTCAGATAATAGCACACCTCTCCAACTATCCATCCATCCATCCATCCATCCATCCACCCATCCATCTATCCATCCATCCATCCATCCATCCATCCATCCATCCATCCATCCATCCATCCATCCAATATATTCATCAACCATTCATTCTTATCTATCAAACATCCCATTTACACACCCATCCACCTTCCCATTCTTCATCTCTTACCCATCTATACATCCACTCATTATCCATCTATCCATCATACATTACTATAAAAATAGGTTCTTCAGTGACGTTTACTGTGTGGTTCCACAATGAGCAACTTATTGCTACCTTTATCACATTTTTCATTTCTTTGTTTTTTTTTTTTTTTTTTTGCCAGATTTACCCTACCATTGTCCATAAAACACATTTATTGCATCTTCAGTAGGTGATGTAAATTGGTACAATTTACTTTATAACACCATCAAACACTTAAAAACAAACAAACACAAACTGAAGCATTGGTTTACTTTCTGTGCTCCTCATTAATAAAGCTACTGGCCTGCCCACCGGCCAGGAAAACAAACGGCCACTAAAACAGTCATATCAGCGCATACACAGTAATCAAAACAAAGCCATTACAAGAGCTGTAAACCTAAATCTAGCCTACAGCTTTATATCCTCACCGCTCTTCCTGTCTCTAAGGAGATCCAGTGAAGAGACTGGTGGCATAATTCACTTGATTTTATTTATTTATTTATTTATTTTTTTGCCTATGCCCATGTGAATAAGAGTGTACACCAAAAAAAAAAAAAAAAAAAAAAAAAAAAATCAATTAAAAAAAAAACTATTCAAACTTTCTATTATTCATGAACTAAAGGGGGCTCTCTTTATTGGTTATGTATTATTAATATCCTAGCACTCGTATCAAAGACGATCCAATTTCATATCCAGCACTTGGAACCAAATTACAGTGGGTTTTTTATTCATGGTTGAATTGGACCGCGGGGCTCGCTCAGGCTGGCCATTGTGCCGCCCACCATAGTTACAGTCGCCACGGTCACCGGAGAGAAGCCCCCTTCCGTCCTCATCATACTGCGCTCTTCAATACTTTCACTATTGTTTTTTTTAAAGCCATCATGTGACACAGATTCGGTCTGTAGCTGTGGCAGATGTATTAGATATAGGGCGCTGCTGATTAGATTTTCAAGGTAATGTTGGGACACGACAGATTAATTGTGTTACAGTGAGGAGGAGAATTGATTCATCTCCCAGCATGCACTTAGAGCAGTCAGTCCACATTTTACATTGAAGAGACTGCTAGAACACGAACGCTTTCCACTTCTCTTAATGTGATATCCTCTGAATATATATACAGTTGGTAGAAATATGGAAGGCATTCAAAGGTGCATTATGGAATTAGGTTTGTGTCAAAGATAAAGAAAAAACCTACCATATGTACTGCCGTTCAACAGTTTGAGGTCAGTTATGTATTTGTCTTGAAATACCTTTATTTTTGCTGACCAAGCATCTATTTGTTTGCTCAAAAAGTCCAGCAAAAACTGTATTTGTTTAAAATATTGTCAAATTAAAATATGCTCTAAAAAACATTTGATGATTAAAATAATAATAATAATAATAATAATAATAATAATTATTTTTATTTTTTTTATTATTATTATTAATGTTTATGCTATTAACAGGATTCTTTTTTAAGTTTATACACATTTTTACATGCTAAATTCCATGAGTTTTCCAGGACTTCTAAGTTAATTTTCAAGACCTAATGTTTCATGTAATGGCTACATTGAAAATTAATGCACATTCATTAATTTATTTCAGCAATAGATAAACACGCAGCAATCTATTTAGTTTAAATTTATTTGATGTAAAACTGATTTAGACAATGCTTACGCAGCACTAATAATGTAAGAGCATGTTATTGGCCAAGGACAGAATAAAAGAAAAGACAACTAACTTTAATCTCTTAAAATAATTTCTATGACTTTTTCTGCTTTTTTTCTGTTTCCAGGCCTGGAAAATGCAATGTCAAAAATTGTGCGATTATTCTTCAAGAAACACACAGCTGAATTCAAAAGTCTTAACCATTACAGCTCAATATTGTGTTGCCAAATTATTGCACCTTAAGTCCTTTCAGATAAAAAAAAAAATTAAACCAGAAAATGAACTAAAGACACTGATCGAGCAAAAACATAAGAAAACAATGAGCAGTTCATACACATTTTTAATTGCTTAAGTCCATAACTTTTCTTGAGGCCTGTTTCAGAAAGCAGGTTAAGTGAAAACTAAAAAGTATTTTAACCCTGAAATGAGAGAAATTCTGGGTTTTCCTTTTCAAAACGGCAGGTTTGTTAAACTCAAGAAAGAAGGGTAAGTCTAGCCTGAAAGAGAGGTAACTTTAACCCAGAGTCAGTTACTGTGGTAACTTACTCTGTGAACCTAACCTGGTCAGGAGAAGGTTTTATTCTCTAAACTCTGCGTATCAGTCAGTCTCCTCCCCTTCTTTAAAGATGAAGCAGTATTTCTCGCCTTAGCCTTACGGTTCCACGCACCTATTTTAATGCGCATAAAAAACGATTGATGGAAACGTCATGATCCACATAACTTTGAAAATACAGATAAAACAAAACATGTTCATAACTCAGTAGGATAAACTTTTAATCCATGGAAAAGATGCACCTAAACTAAGATGAAAACACTTTTACTCAACAAATTACAGTGTGTGTTAAAAAAAGGTTTGTTATAAGAGATCAAATGATGATGAAAATGTGTGTAAATGGACAAACCAGCAGGCTGAGCACACTGTAACACATCTTAAATGTTGTTTTGGTCATTCATTCTAAAATGCCTTAACCATTTTAGTATTTATTTCCTTTATTTAGCAAGGAGATCACATTGAGACAGTGCTGTCTCTTCTTCCAGTGAGACCTGGTATTAATGTTTTTATAATATTAATGACCTCCAGAGCGTCTGGAGCGTGTCAAGAGGGTCTGTTCTATACATCTCATGGCTTCAAACACCACCACGCGTTCATTGTGGGTCAGCATTGTCTTCAGAGGCGCAAGTACATTTATTAAATAAAAAAAAGATTGACGCAGCTTCTTCTACCGCAGTAAATTTTGTTTTTAATGTTGATTTTTAGCGCCCATTTAATCAAGAAGTGACGATTTTGTTCTTTTTGACTCACTGGATGGAAACACTGCTTTATTTGCATGTCTTTTATGCGTTAATCCAGTTTTGCACATACTGTAAATGTAATTAATATATTTGGATGGAAACATAGCCATTATATACATTTCAGTCACACAAAGAACAAAGTCACGTATGAGAATGGCTTGTCCTTTTTTAATAAATAATTAGCTTAAATTCACTGACCTTCGACAGGGACATGTACTGCTACTAGATAAATGCGATTATTATTCTTTATATTAACTAAACTATTGTTTAGTTTTGCTTACATTCTAAATGTCATATCAACCTCTATCCCTTAATCAATAAAAGGCAGACACAAGTGCACTTTTAAATCTATTAAAACTGATCAACGTGTGTAAAAATATTATAAACGTCACACATAACATTGCTTATTTTATTATACCTAAATATTTAAATACAATAAATGTAAAATTACGCATTAACTTGAGCAGCTGTTTTCCCACGCTAACTGTCTCTGCTTCGCTGATGAAGTGGTGTTGCTTTTTAAAATATATGGTCATATTTGCTATAACTTTGCATGAGCACATCAAGTTCATGATGACTCGTAATATCTGCGCTTCACTGATAATGCCTTTTTATAGTTGCAGTGTGCACGCTTAACTCTGAGTTGTATTCAAAGTTGATTGACCTATCTCAGATCAGCTATTCTAAAACCGAAAACTCGTGAGTTTTTAATCTCTCTGTAAATCAACTGAGTTCAAGTCTAAACTCTGAGTTGGTTGAACCTCCTTACTGAAACAGGCCCCTGGATTTCCAAGTTAATTTTTAAGACCTAATGTTTCATGTAATGGCTACTGTACATATATGTGGTAAGTAATAAGAAAAACAATGCAAGTTCAAATTTATTAAAGCATATGATAAACATGTAACAATCTAATTAGTTTAAATGTATTTTATGTAAAAATGATTTACACAATGCTAACACAGCACTAATAATGTGAGAGCATGTTACATGTTCAAATTATTGATGAACTTTCAAAGATGTGCAAATATTATTCAAGAAACATTCAGCTAAATGTAAAGGTCTTGATTATTACAGCTCCATATTGTGGTGCTAAATTATTTCACCTTAAGTCTATTCAAACTACAAAAATTTAATTATATAATGTTACAAAGACACTGATCAAGCAAACACATGACAAATAAAATTTTGCCCACAAAATAAGTATGTATTACATAGCAAAAGGAATGCATTGGTACACTCATCTTGCACTATGACTTAAAAAAATTACTTCACAGCTAAATTTTTTAAAGTGTTTGTCGTCTTTCTCAAGGTGTGTTTTTCTAAAATGTTATGAGTAAAGTAACTCAAACCATTTGAGGAAACCAGTTGCAACAAACCATTTAGGGTTAACAACCAATCCTAATGAGTACTGTAAGACCCTAATCCAATTGAGTAAAAGAAGCAATTTGAGCACAGTAAAACCCGATAAATGAAGAGAACTTGAACCGTTTGAGGAAACCAATAGCTACAAACCATTTGAGTTAAAAAAAAAAAAACACTAATCTATTTGAGTACTGTGAACTTACTGCATTTAAGTTGAAATAATGAGGTATTTAATTAACTCATTACCTTCAACACTGAGTTCAAAAATCTTTTTAAATGAGTAAAATTAATTTTAATTTTGAGCAAACTACACTCATTTTCATTTGATAAAGTTGACTGTTTTTTTCAGTATAGGATGACCCATACATAGCAGGAAATGACAGAATAGGCAGACGACAAAGACATAGCAGGGAAAAGACAATAATGTGTATGTCTTACCCAGGTCCACACTTTTCAATGACTTCACATGATTCTGCTCCGCATGAACCTGCTGACCTCCATCAGTCAAAGATGCATCAGCTGAACGGAGACCTGAACTCAGGAGGCTGAATAAACATACAAACACACACATAAAACAGCTGCACACTTCTTTCTTTCTTTCTTTCTTTCTTTCTTTCTTTCTTTCTTTCTTTCTTTCTTTCTTTCTTTCTTTCTTTCTTTCTTTCTTTCTTTCTTTCTTTCTTTCTTTCTTTCTTTCAGCTGTTAAAATTCATGCTGGTTTGAAACATCTATTTAACCATGTACTAGAGTGAGTAAATGAAGAAGCAGCTTTCAATTTTGAGTGAACTGACTAACTGAAGTTTATAATATATATCAATTGAGTAAATAGTGGGTACAGTTTTATTTTGGGGTGAACTATCCCTTTAAATGTGATCAATGTATGTGTTTACATACAACAGTATCAGTTAAGAACTAATGTACTTAGGAAACAAAAAAGGTGCAAAAAAATATATAATTTAATTGTGATTATTTTGCTTATTTATTCTTTTTTTTATCAAATAATGTTTTACAATTAGTTCAACCATTCTATTTACCAAGTCTAAATGTATATATGTATATATATATATATATATATATATATATATATATATATATATATATATATATATATATATATATATATATATATATATATATATATATATATATATATACAACAGTTCTGCCAGTAACAATGTGGATTCATAAAAAAAATTTAAAACATGTTAGGATGTGTTTGGATTCAGGATTATTTGAAAAAAATGTTGCAACTACAAAGGACTTAATTTGACGCTGTACATTTGGTATATCTTACAAAATAAAACCAATGTCATCAAAACTTAGATATAGTTTGTAGAGAGATAAATTGCCCTGTTTTGCCATGTATAAACAAACTCAAGTTATGTGGCCACCTGGTGTCATAATTATTGTCCGGCTTGTGCAGCCAGTAAAATGAGATGTGTTTATCAGTTTTGGTCAAAAGCAAATCCACGTTACCTCTGCTGGAACTGGAGGCTGTTCTGTCTGTGAGGATTAGCATCGAAGCCTTCATCATCCCCCTCTTCCGTATGATTGTATCCCCCATTTGAAACTGTGAGAGAACAGACAAAAGCAGAGAGAGAAAAGCAATCATTAGAGCTCTGTGGAAATATTATGCGGGCTCATTTAAGAGGGGTCTGCAGGGGTCAGGCCATCGGTGGACAGGGGTGACAGTCTCACACAGAAACGGAGACCATTATCAGCTCCAACACAGTCACCTTTAATGATCTTTCACTCCTATGATAATGGGACTGGGGCCTGGGATTGACTTGATTTCCCCCCTCTAAGCTTGGTTAAGTTTGTAAAAGAGAGTGTGTGACTGACAGAGACGCTGGATATGTGTTTTTATATTTAAACATCTGTGTATTATTACTGCTATTGACATAATTAGTTCTATTTTTCTTCTATACTTTTATTTTAATTTCTATTAAGAGATGTGAGTTGATTCAGTGGGGATCAATTCTTAATTCAGTTCGATTTGCAAGCTTACTTTTCAAATTGATTCAGTACCTTATTCCATTCTTGTTTTTTAAAACTCAATACACACTGTATACAGTTACACAAATTCTAATAATTTATTTCAATAATTTTACTAAAGATACATTTAGAGAAACAAACTAAAAGAAAAGAAAAAGAAAATCTTGTAGATGCAATGTAAATTAATTTCAACAAAATGCATTAAGGGGACCATCAAAATAAAGTGATAGCAAAACGTTTTCTCAGTGAAGAGAGTTATAAACAAAACAAAAAAAACAAAACAAAGAAAAAAATATATAAAAAAGATTTTCCAAATAATCAAACAATGTTAAGAAACAAATGTATGTTTAAACACGGTCATTTTTAAAATTACACATATTATTAATTTTTTTTTTTTTTAACGTCAATAATAGGGATGCTCTGATTGATCGGCCGAAGATCGGTATTGGTTGATAATCACATTTTATGACTCAATAGATCCTCGTCAATCTGGCTGATCTCATAAACCAATCACAGGTGTTTGTTTAAGAGTTTACACACAGAGAAGACGTATGTGTGCTCATCAGCAGTGCTACAACATGCATCTAGTGTCTCATCCAAGATATAGCCTCTCCCGGAAGCGCCGCAGTTCTCCCAAACAGGCCTCTTCATAGTGATGCTGTGACGCTCAAGAATTAGATAAAATACACCGGAAATAATAGCAACAAGAGTGAATGACCAAGTGAACAGTTCACGAGAGGCACAGTGATGTTCGGAGCTGCGATCATAAAGCTGTTATCAAGAGTAGGAGATGAGCAAATATTTGAATGGCCTTGCATGCATTTAGGCTTTTTTACATACAAGAACTGAAAGTTTTTGATAATGTTAAAAGTTCACTAAAAGCGGCCTGGAAATATCAATGAAATAAATATTTTTTACTTATTTAATACTATAACTTTTTTCTAATATAGGCCTAGTTATTGCAATAAACAGTAGTTTATAGACCTATTTCCGTTTAGTAAAGAAGTAATGTATATGTAATGTTAATGTATTTACCTTCTTCTGCATCAAATAAAGCCTACGCTCCAAACTTATTCTTCACTGTGATATGTTGAATTCTTTTTCAATTATTTGCAGTGTTTCTAAATTGCTTTGTTAGTCATTTCTCACTATTGTTTTAAGCATGTTTTATCTATTATTTTCTGTAAACCTGTGTCTGACCATTTCAAGTCGACACTAAATGGTTATAGGAAAAATGTGTATAGGATTATATGCAACATCCTTCATTTATTCTCTTAGGTAAGGAGACATCTCCACTTAAGTATCATACTTAGAGGGAAAATGTGCTTTAGGCATTATAAAGGTTGAAGCATTAGAATCAGTACTTGGTATCGGCTGATCACCATGACAAGAAAACCCTGGTAAATATTTAAAGAAATAACTATTGTAATGTGACTATTGTATGTAATTTTTAAAATAATTGATTGTACATAACATAGTTTTGTAAAATAATAATAATAATAATAATAATAATAATAATAATAATAATAATAATAATAATAATAATAATAATAAATAATAATAATAATAATAATAATAATAATAATAATAATAATAATAATAATAATAATAATAATAATAGCAGTCCGACATGTGTAACGTTGTAAACCACTGTTATTAGCAATGGTAATATCGGTGTATTGCAAATGCATTATTTGTGAAAGCAGCAGTGTAATAGAAAAAACAACAGACTGAAAATGAATTCTGTCCTGTCTGCTGTTTGTGCTGAGCAATTGGCTCTGAAAGGGGGTGTTCAAAAAGCATTGAAATGGGGGTGTTCAAAAGAATAGCAGTGTTGAGTTTAATGAGATAATTCATTCATTTTGTGAAGAAAACAATGCCATTTTTTAGTTCTTTATAAAGAAAGAAGGTCAGCAAAGTGTCACACATAGTTATAAAATATATTTCTTTCTGAATTGTGATGTAAAATGGGTCATTCGAAACACTATTTAGAAGAGCCATTTACAGTAATTTAAGTAAAAAAAAAAAGTTTATTTGAAAAGGAAGTGGAGAAAAGAAGTGGAGAAAATTATAGAGTGTTCTTCTAAAATGATCTCCACTTTAAAATGGCAACAATAACCTCGAAAACGCAAAAGAAAATGAGCAACTATGGTTAAAATGGATCTAAGAATAGAATGGCATGGATTCAGCCAATCATCAACTCCAGACAGATCAAAGATGATTTAAAACAGCCAGTATGTACAGTGACAGTCAGGAGATGTTTGAAGAAAGCTCAGCTGTCAAGAAGCCCCCTTAAAAACACCATTGTTGAAAAAAATGCATTTAAATATGCCAAAGAGAAAATGCCCCTGAAATGAGTTATAGTAAGTACATATATATACAGGAATTTTCCTTTTTATTTGCCTCTAATAAAATAAATTAACTCAAAATAAATAAAAATCATAAGAAAAAAAAAATGTGGGATGTGGAAATTTTTTGGAAGAACACCAGGCAGTTTAAATGTTTAGGACCAACAACAATGCTAAAAATGCAATAAAATAAAAGGTAAAAAAAAGAAAAAAAAGAAAAAAAAAAAAAAAAAAAATATATATATATATATATATATATATATATATATATATATATATATATTTTTTTTTTTTTTTTTTTTTTTGTCTCCGGGTTCTAAAAATTAAAAAAACCAAGAAGCATTTCATAGACTCTTTATTTGCTCCCTGTAAAGGGGATATATATATAATGTTTTCCCTATGCTTAAGAGACAAAAGATCTTTGAACTTTATTAACAGTCTATTAATTCACACTGCAATTTTTTTAAATATACCAACTGTGTATGTTAACGTGCTTTATACAGTCTGTTAATGACCCAACAGCCCAACAGAATGTGCAGTGAGCAGATGAATGAATCAGGATGACGCTGTAATTGTGTTCTCGTTCATAAACAGACTACAGTACACACTGCAGGCTCTTACTAGAAAACACAGAAGCCTTGAACCACCCACAGCAGAATATGACACAATAAACTGTTTATGAATCTGAGTGTGTGTGTGTGTGTGTGTGTGTGTGTGTGTGTGTGTGTGTGTGTGTGTGTGTGTGTGTGTGTGTGTGTTTGTAACTCAAGGACACTTTATAAGCATTTATCCAGAATTCCCCTTATTATTTAGTTGATGTTTTCAGCTACTGTATCTGAAGCCCTGCATGACACATACCTCATTAACGTCTGTTAGGCCAAATAGTGCAGAACCGAAACAAAGGTTGGAGGTCTTTGTCTGAGAGCCAGTCATGTTAAATTCAAAACAAATGCCTCAGATTCCCAGACACTTAGCGAACACAGTTTATGAACAACCTACAGTTTAAACAAACATTCAATGAACAGTTTACAGAGATGAACCCTTACAATCCTTTCCTAAATAGTTTCATTTAGTGAAAGGAATCTGCTTATGGCAGATTCTACACAGAATACTATATGTAGAGTGCTATTATATTAATAAAGTCAAATTAAAAAGCCCATATTATGGGCTAACTAATTAAACCTAAAACTAACTATTTAAACAAATTAAACAATATCTAATTAGTTTTATAAAATATTTAATATTGAAATGTTTTAAATTATTTTTACACAAATGCATATGACATTTGCTTAAATAGATGTAGTAGTATGAAAGAAAGACATAGTACTGTGTGTACGTACAGTAGTACAGTGTGTGTGTATTACATGAACCATATGCTACACCCACTCTTTAATAGCACCACTGTTATGCAAAAAAGAATATGCCAACCGCCAACTCTGCTATCAACAAAACACTGTCACTTTGCAGTAAATGTAATACAAATAAATACTCTCACACTATTTTAAGATACAATGAGTTCTATTAACAAACCATTAACTATGACTTTTAGATCAATAAACTCCTAATTTGTTGCTTATCAATTGTCAAGGTAGTAATTAGGTTTAGGCATTTGGTAGGATTAGGGATGTAAAATAAGATCATACAAAATACAGTGCTCAGCATAAATGAGTACACCCCTTACAAATCTATCTTTTAAATTTATATTTTATTAGGATTCTTTACAATAGTATATTTGTGCATATGCATTATATTAGTCAGTACTTGACAGTACTCAAATCTGAAGCTAATCTATCCAAATAACTTACAATAATGGTTCAAAACTAGTAGCCCACATTTAGATGCAAGGGGAAAATGTAAATGCTAAACAAATGTATAAAATTTAGTTAATATTTTATAATTTACTTTTTTAACATTTTGCTTGAATTTAAAAGTATTCTCTTTCATTTTCTATTGATGCTAAATAATATTTTAACTAATATATGTTTATTAAAACTTTTTGTTTAAATGCACCAAAATATATTGCCTGTTCAATGAGAAATTGATAAAAATATTAATTTTCGAAATGGGGTGTACTCATTTATGCTGAGCATTGTATTTACTTCATGCAAACAGCCAATATCTTAACAATAGGCAGTAAATAAGCCACTAGTTGATAGTGAGAAATCGTATCTGTATCTTGTTGTTGTCAAATAAACTATTTAAAATAATACATATTTTAAACCAAAAA